TGGGTGGTAAGGGAGGGGGTGGGGGCAGGGGGGAGAAATGAACCAAGCCTTGTATGCACATATGAATAATAAAAGAAAAATGAAAAAAAAAAGGTTAAAAAAAAAAAAAGATAATTATGACCTTAAGTAAATGTAGCAAATATGTCTCTTTGAGTTTGAAATGCATTCCAAATCTCAAGAATGCCTGCTGGCAAGACAAATACCGATTGTGCCATTATCCTTAGATTAAGAAATTATCAAACTGTCTCTGGGCCAAAATTATGCAATTTCAACAATGCTAGCCAAGTCAGGCTAGCCTTAAATTTTAAGTCACAAACTGTAACAGCATGATTTGGGCTAATGTGAGTACTACTTAACTAACACAGTCTTCCAAACTGTATCCTTAAAGTAATAAATCACAAAAGGATTTATAACCTTAGTATGGAATAGAATAGATTCAGAACAAATTCTGCAACTAGGTAGACAGGGATTCAAATCCAAGCTCTGTCCCTTATTGAACAAAACCTTGGACAATCTTTCAAAATATCAAATTCTCCACCTGTAAAATGGGAGTAATACCGCCTAACTTGATAGGATTGTTCTGAGAGTTAAGTAGTATAGTAATATAGATATTCAGCAAATGGTATTGCTATTAATTTTATTAAATGTCCCTAAAAGAAAAAATATTCCTTATGCATAAGACGTAAGAAAATCAAATATGAATGGAATATTACCTAGTAATATGGGAAGGCCTCATGCTAACATTTTAATCTGAGTTTTTCTCTATTATAGATGGTGCTGTATATCTACAGTTATCGGAAGAGTTTCTGCTTCTATCTTAGCAATGGTTAATAGTGGTTTTATCATTATGTCTACTCAGTAGAAGTTCCAGTAAAAACTCCAAAAGATCACAATGAATCTAATGTCTATTAATTTCAACTCAAATGTATCAATAATATTAAATATAAGTAGATACCATTTTTCATAAAACTGCTCAAACTTTCTCGAAAGCTTTTATAATTAGTTTCAATTTTAGAGAATTCTATTTAGTACCAGGAAGAGGCAATTTCTTCTTGCCAATCAGTAAAGGTAAAAGCCAATTAACTCTTTCACACTGGGAGAAGATCATCCAGTCTCTCACCCAATCTGTAGGTCATCCTCATCAAGTATAAATCCCTTATGAAATGTCCTAGGGACCACGATTTTATGAACTTTTAAAAATTAATACTACACAAAGGCTTAAAATATAAGGGTGAGGGGCTCTCAAGGTATCCTAAAATCAAAAATTCCAATGTTTTTCAACAAAATTTACAGTTACACTAAGGCGGGGGGGGGCAGGGGGAAGGCCTCCTATTACTTCAGTTCAGTATTACCACAAAAAAAGTTGGCATTGAATTGACAAAAATAAAAAATAAATTAAAAACCCATCCCTTTTGTTTTACCTTAACCCTAGCTATAGAGTAAACCTGGTATCTTTTCAAATGCTTAAGAAAATAAAACTGCCATGTCCCTTTTCACTAAACCTCCAATTTCAGATGTCCCACCTGTAATTCAACTGGAATGAAGGAATTATGAAAGTCTCTAGTTCAGGCTTATAATAGTTAATATCATGGGACTTCCCAATGGACATCCTTTGTCCAGATGAGATCCACATGTTCACTGGGATAGAGAATAGTACTTTCTTTTCCTCTTCCCTGCTTCCTAGAGACCCTACACAGCAACTCTCTCTTTTCCTCTGTAATTTGTAATATTAACCACGTGTCTTTCAAAAAATTGCTTCAATCCTTAACATATGCCTTCTAACAAAAAAACAAAAAACACTTGAACTTACAAAGACTTCCCTCTGTCCCTGCCTGATTTCAATTCCCTTCTGCATCTATTTTAGTTGATTTACAACATACATTAGTTATAGTAGAGTAAAAGTCCGTAAATTACTAAAATCTGGACATATTTTTAAATTTAGCATTTCTGAAAAATGAAAATTATAAGCTCTTACTCATTGATTTGATCTTGGCTAAAAGAATAACTAAAACTTCTTATGAAATCATGACTCAAAGTCAAGAATATAAAAAGTTTCAGCTTTTAAAATCAGCTTTGACAAGTTCAAATGAAGCAAAATGTGCAGCAAACAGTTTAAAGGAAAATCAGGTTAGACATTAAACTATACATTCAATTGTGGTCCTCCTCCAAAGGAGCTGCTGTAGCAGGAACATCCTTCAAGGCCTCAGAAGATTGTGGGGTCGGGGGGAAAGAGCCAACAAACAAGAACTAGAGGGAAAGCACAAATCACAGCCAACTGGAAATTTATTTTTATTCTAATTATAATTCTTCAAACAACATCAGTTATTTAAATTTGGTTTGAGCCATGCTTAAATAGAATACTACAAAATATGACAAACTATTTCTAATCCTTTTGACAAGAAAGCTAACACTTCTGGGTTCTACTTCACTGTATTTGTTCATTTTACTGATGCAAAACCTTCTAAATACAAACATTTTGAAAGTGAATGAAATCATTTCCAAGTGCCCCTTTGATTGTATGAGTTCTGTGATAGCGCCTTCTTTCAGCACATGCTCCTCGCTGGCCTTTGGCTAACATGGAGACAAGCTATCACTCTGTCAGTCAGCTTCAGAGGCCTCGCTCCAGTGCGCGTCTCGTTTCTCTGCCACAAGTTTGATGAAGTGAGCATGGCTGGCATAAAGCTTCAGTTTATCACTGATGTCCACCCATTTCACTTTTCCAGCATCATCTCCAGCTTCTAGGGTAAGATTATCCATTATCTCACCTAGTTACCAAAGAAAAAACATCACCAAACAAAGGAATTTACTTATCCATTGCTTTTGCAGCATAATCCTATATCTTCAAGTATTCTTACTAAAAATGAACTTAAATCATCATTGTATTGGTGACCAGAATATTTAAAAATGCCTGAGTTTTAACTAAGTTCATAAATATTAGGTGGAAGCAGCAATAAGAAAGCTTTTCTCTTTAAAAAGTAAAGAGTATTATTCTGGCCAGGCACTGGTGGCTCTCACCTGTGATCCTAGCTACTCAGAAGGCAGAGATCAGGAGGACTGTGGTTTGAGGCCAGTCCAGGCAAACAGTTCCGCAAAACCCTATCTCAAAAAAAAAAACCCTTCACAAAAAAGGGCTGGTGAAGTGGCTCCTACATCAAAATAAATTCCAGAGGGGTTAAAGACTTAATTGCAAAAACAGATAAAAGAAAAACATCAACTGGTGACTTATTTTATTGCCTTAAGATACATGGACTTTTCTAAGCATATCATCAAACCAGAAACCATAATAAAAATAAATAATCCATTTATACATGTACACAAATATACTATTAGAATATTTCTATTTATAATTATTAAAAAGTAAAAACAAATGCCGTCAATCACTGTTAAGGACGTAAACAGCATTACTTCTATGGGAACAGTGGCCATGGTTACTAAGTGTTAGAAATGCTCCCAGATGAGTGTTCACTCAATAAATATCAGAGTGCATCTTATTATCAGATCTGAAGCTTCATAGAAACAGTCCAGGAATAATACTTTGAAGAATTTATCCACAGGAAAAAAAGAGACAAACCTGTTAAAGTACTCAAGATATTATTTCTATATTTTTGGGGTTTTTTTGTTTTTTTTTGGTAGTACTGGGGTTTGAACTCAGGGCCTCATGCTTTCTAGCCAGCTGTGCTACCACTTGAGCCACACCTCCAGTCCTTATTTCTATATTTTTAAATAATGTGCTTAAACATTACTTTTTAAAAAATGGACATAAACAAACTTTCCACCCATACAGCATGGATTAAATAAATGGTGGTACAGATACACAATGGACTCCCACACAGTCATTAAAATGAAGGTGAGCCATATATACTAACATGGAATGATGTCCATAATGTAGTTTTCAATGAAACACCAAGTAATGAAATAGAATGTACAATTTAAGTTCATTTTATTGATAACAACAACCAAAAGCAACATGAAGTCTGATAGAAGATAAATCAAAATGTTAATTACCTTTACCTATATAATAATTACCTTTATAATAAGATAACAAAACTACTGCTTAAAATAACCAATATTTTAGCACACAGGTTTCTAAATTCCAATGCTAAAATAATAGCTTTATGTCTACGCTCACTACAAGTACAACATCCAACCTTCAATGGAGAAAGAGAAGTGAAAAATAAAACTGAATCCAAAAGTTAAGTTGAAGCATCAGATTATCTAAATAACACCTTCCTCTAACATCTTTTTTTTAATCAGAACTTATAATGTCTGAAAATTTCTTTTACTCACCTCTCTGATCACTTTTAAATTATACAAAACAAAGTTTAAAGAAAGACAGTCTGACATGTAGAGTTAGGAGTCATCATTCATCCTCACAAGAAAAAAGCTGAGCTGAAAATTAACAATTCTTACACCCATCAGAAAACTGAGATCAGAGGACACACTGCCCCCCCTCTCTGGAGGAAATCTCCTCTCACTTCCAGCAGGATGAGGGGAAAAGTAACCATGGTGAAACTTGCCAGAGTACACTGACCTCATGTAAAATTATTTTGCCAAGGTCAGCCTGGCAAACTGGGAGAAGTGAAATACAAAATTCCAGGCCCATCTGGCCAACCAAAGGAGGAAAAAAAGCTGAGAAGCAGAAGTGCTCACTCAATAAAAGACTAAGAACCAATCACAGAATTCTCCTATGATTCCCTACTCCTAAAACTTACCACTGTAATGGGGGGACGGGATACAACAGAAAGAAGGGCACCTCTTGGACTTACTAAGAAGTCTCTAGAGAAACCCAAAGATAACAGGGGAGATAAAAACAAGGACCCCAGAGGAAATTTTAACTTCTGAAAGCTTTAACTACAGGAACAATAAAAGCCTAACTCCTAGCCAAATACACATAAAACCTCACACTAAATTTAGGCCTGCTTGCTGTGATTCCATTTACTAGATAAACCATGTTCAACTTCCAAAATATACTGCAAGGCATTCTAAAGGCAAAAACTACAATCTAAACAGACAAAGAAAGCATCAGAACTAAACTTAGATAGGCCAAAGATTTTGGAATTATAAGTACAGAATTTTCTTTGTTATTTAAAGAGAGAAAGGGAGTGGGATAAAAATAGTGAACAATCCATAAACTACATCATCAATCTCTTATCACTGGTTTTAACCCCAAAAATAACTAACAAATGTGTCAGTAGTTAAGCTGTATAAACCCTATTTTAAATTACATCTATTGAGATCTTATAAGATCTCAATACTAGAAGGATGAACTCTTTCAACATCTTAGAATTGTTGTATAGAAAGTGCTGGGAGTTTCTCCCAAATCCAACAAGCAAAAGCACAAAGCACAAAAGTGACAAATCTTCTAATTCCAGCCCATTTTATATCTGAATAAACTGACTCCCAAGAGGACAAGTGACTTGTACAAGGTTTCAAAGCTCAGAAAACAGCCAAGAATGCAGCATTTGATTCTCTTTTAAGATGTTCTCACTTCATTATGCTACAGATGAATACCAAGTACTTAAAACACCATCTGAATTAGTAGTAAAATATGTTACAAGAGAAGTCATTCAATGTGCAAAGATCAGAATTAATTTTAAGATAGATTTTTCCTCTCCTTTTGTAATAACAGATTTGTCTCCTCCAATAAAATTTAAAATCCATACAGCAGAAAGCATTCATTTAAATTTTTTCAGTACTTAGAATCTTCTTGGTACTGTCTTGTGCTTTAACAGTGCATGCTAATTATGTGATAAGATAAATATAAATCCCGTTTCCTTCGTCATTGCCATACTTCCCCCCACAAATTCCCAGTTGCTTTTGTTTTTGTCTTAAACAAGTTGAATCATAGTATACAAGAAACTGACAACTTCAAAGCATACCACTTTAGTCCATATGCAACCTTAATTTCATATGCTACCAATGGGATTACAGAAATTTTAGTTACTGTTCAGGCTCTGTTCTATGTATTCTCTTAATACTAACAATGATGCTTTCATATAAATACAATCCTAAAGCCAGTAGTTAACCGATCCAGATGTGGTGGTGCCCTAGCAGACCATGTGGGTTTCCTCCAGTTTCAGGCAGTTTAAGAAACATAAGTACATTACCTGTCTCATCATGGTAGTTCACAGCTTCTGTCTCCATCCATGCATTATCAGTGTTTCGAGGATCATCAACATATCCTTTGTATATCTATTTTTAAAAGGAGATAGATTAAAAAAAAGTCTAGGGTGAAACAGGAATGGGTAGAACAGAAGCTCATTACCTTCAATAGATTCAGAAATGTAAATATCCATTGCACAACAATATAAATATACTTCACACTGCAGAACTGTACAATTAAAGATAGTTAAGATGGCCAGGTGCCAATGGCTTCTGCCTGTAATCCTAGCTACTCAGGAGGCAGAGATCAGGAGTTCAAGGCCTGCCCCAGGAAAATACTTCATGAAACCCTATCTCAAAACTACCTCACACAAAAGAAGGGCTGATGGAGTGGCTCAAGTGATGGAGCACCTGCCTAGCAAATACAAGGTCCTGAGTTTAAACCAAAGTACTGCAAAAAAAAAAAAAGTTAAAATGGAGCTGGGCACAGTGGCTTACACCTATAATTCCAATAGGACATTGAGGTCTAAGGCAGGTGAAAGGCAAAAATGCGAGACCTTACTTAAAAAATAACCAAAGTAAAAAACAGCTGGAGGCGTGGGTCAAATGGTAGAGTACCTGCCTAAAAAGCACCAGAACTAAATCCCTTCTAGGGACTACCATTTCTTACCACTAGATGTTCTTGACTGAAAAGCTTGTGCAACTGCTCCTCTATTTCTCGCTTTTCAGCACTGGACTTCTGTAAGGAGTTCAGAGCTTCCTCACCAAATTCTCTTTTCAGTGTGGCACTGATCTTCTCTCCTGGATCTACCATCCCCTAAAATCACATTTTAAAAAAATAATAACTTTGATTCATTCAATAAATATTTCCTGAATGATACAGTAGACATTTCTTGTTCTATCTGCGCCATTCCTCTGTGATAAGCGCTTTTTGTTTCTAGTAGAAACAGCAAATAAAGGTACCTCCTATGTGTGGCCACAGTGATTGGTCCAAAGTTAGCCTACAGCTAACTGAGCCAAACAAATTCACTTTCTGGTACTTTCCAAATTCAAGCTAAGAGAAAATGGTTTGGAGGCAAGAAAGAATATAGCAAATTGGTTCTTCCCCCATTGTTCATTCATCTCATTCCAGCCAAGATGTTCAATGTTCCCAGGGCCTGCACACCTGCTATTACCTTTGTCCAAGATGTTCATCGCGAGATGTCTGCATGGGTCACTCACTCACTTACTTTAGATTTTTTTCTCAAACATCACCTTCTCGATGAGGCTCTTCTCTAACTGCACTATCCAAAATTGCAAACCCTCAAATGCTTCTAGTCTCTTATCTTGCTTTAGTTTTTTTTTCTTAATACTTACCACCTTCTAAATTATTTATCTTATCTTCCAAAGTATTTATCTTATACTATTTATCTTACATTATTGTCTGTCCCAACTGAAATGTTAGCACAAAAAGACAGGGATGTTTATGTTGTTCTGTGTTCCCTCAATGTCTAAAATATTAGCTGACAATAGATATTCAAAACTACATTGTGTAGATAAGTAACCCTCAAAATTATATCAATGACAATGGTGCCTCACTGATCTGAGTTTAAAATGACAATAAAAATGTAAATCCTATGATGAAATCATGATTATGTTATTGCACTCAGCATGAGTAAAGCTTGAAGATTTGGCTTATACCAATTAGCCTAAGCTTTTATCAGAGTCAGCTAAGATTTTTAATGCCATTCCATTTTTAGCCTACAAAGACAAAAATATTCTTGCAGATGGTAGCGTATTTATAAAGAAACATCCTCACATCAAACTATCTACATTTCATAACAAGGCATAAAATACAAAACCTGCAATCACCCTCATTATACATATTTTAAAAGGTTACTTCAAATGTCTCACTGGCATAAATTCAAACTCTAGGCCAACAAAAGTGCAGCGTTCCTGATAATGATGTGGAAAACCTTTAAAATACAGGAAGCAGTAACTAATAAAAGCTATCTTTTTTTTTTTGCATGTAAAGTTATCAGAATTTATAGTGCTAAAAATACCACTTTTGAGTGGGAGTTGAGATAGGACCCCACTAAATACCATAAGTTCATATGTTATCACTGTGAGGCACATATGACTATTTAAAGATGAGGGTCTAAACTCCGCAACACCCAGATGAAAGTGGAAAGACCAGAACACAAGCCCAGCTATAACTCCAAAGTCCATGTTCTTGTCCAAAGATGTTAGAATTAGACTCTAACAGCCTTGTGCTATCCTAAACTTGTTATAGAAAGAGGTATTTCATGTGGTGAAGACAATGGAAGTGGGGAGAAATGGAGTGGTAAAGATCCAAACACAATAACCCTGTAGTAAGTAAAGCAATTAAAAGAACTTAAACATTAATTTGATTTTTGTTGTAATGCTCACCCCTGGGATGGCCCACTCTCCACAGTCTTTCCTTTTTATTGCAACAAACTGTAAGATGTGTTTCCCAGAAACAGGGTGGGTGATTTTATTTCCACTGCTATCTCTTTTCCACCTGTAAACAGTAATATAAGATCATAACTGATTTAGAACAAAGACCAAAGTTCTTTCTCAAGCCTGAGGCAAAATTATAGAGATATTTTTCTTTGTAATAGGGTATATATTAATTTTAAGTCAGCTAGTTTTACCCAAAAATATTCTATTTCTATTTTACATAAAGGATACTGTACTCTCTACAATGAAAATTCAATATATAAATAGTTTTTTACTATTTAAAGTACTATCAAAAAAAGTTCAAAAGGAAGAATTTAAAAGAAGGGCTATTAAGAGTTTAAAAAAATCCAAGGATCCTTTTTAGAAATTACAAGTAGTGACAAAAACCCTAGTAATACCTGCATTACCTGTGTTACCAGAAAGCAGATTATATGGTACAGTTACAACTGGTATCTAAAAGGTAATTTTTAACTTTTATGCTCTCTAGATTTAAAAAAACCTCAATCCATCTTTAATTTTATATTTTGAATTGAATAAAAGTATAAAAAGCATAAGGCAATTTTAACTCAGAATACATTTTCTAACCATATCATCTTTCCCTGAGCTGGCGATAAATCTCCCTTCCCTTCCTAACCTCTACCACATCAGCCTCCACCCCCAATTTTAACAACTGTTCTAATAGTCTCTTAGGCAAAAATAAGGATTTTGAACTTCTAATACCAAATCATAAAAGAAAGTCTACGATCTACTCATCACTCTGCATGAGACTAAACAGTTGCAGGCTCAGGTACGAGTCTCCAAGTGTCTTTATGCGGTAGTAGCTGGCTAGAAGAACTCACAGTGTAGCAATAGGGCTAGCTATGTAAGTGAGGAAACTATGAAACCAGGCAACAGTTTGATGAGCATAGTAAACAGAAACAAAAGAGAGATTAGCACATTTGTTTTTAAGCTGCCAGACAAAGGAATAACATAAACAAGAAACAGTAATTAAATAAAATAATGTGTTCAAGAACCTGAACATCTATCTATGCGTGGTCTGATACCATGGGCATCAGATACAGAAAAGATGAGGGATGAGGCTGAAGAAGGAAGCAAAGTATTTATGTAACCGGATTCATCAATTTGTCTTAGAGAATATTTTTAAGCAGGGTAAAGGCATAACCAATTCGTATTTTAGAAAGTTCACTCACTTTGACAAAAGCAAGAAGGCTGGTTTAGAGGGAAGGAAGAATACACAGAGCCAAGAAGACCAGCTAAAATGCTGTTACTATGATCCAGGCAAAAAGTGGTGAGGACAGAACTAAAGGTGAAGACAGTGAAAATGGAGAGAAACAGGGTTTTTGTTTGTTGGTGCTTTTCGAGGGGTGGTTTCGTTTCATTTTTTGTTTTATTTGTTGATAAAAATAGGGTCTCATCTAAGCTGGCCTCAAAGCTGAGATCCTCCTGCCTCAGAGTGCTGGGATTACAGAAATGTACTACGATGCCCTGCTTTATTTATTTTTTATTTTATACTTTGATATTTTTTTGGCACTACTGGGAATTGAATCCAGAGCCTCATGCATGCTAAGCAAGCATTACACCACTTAAACTATATCCCCAGCCCTTTTGATTTTATTTTGTTTCTGAGATGGGGTCTAGCTAACTTTACTAAGACTGACCTCAAATTCATTCCTCCTGACTCCACCTCCAGAGTACCTGGGATTACAGGCTTGTAATACCACTCCCAGCTTATTTGTATTTTTTAAAAGCCATTTATATAGCACTTATTATATACCTGAGGCTTTCTAAGTTCTTAAATGTATTTGCCCATTTAAGCCTCAAAACAAAGCTATAGAGCAGTTGTATTATTTTACATTTTACAGATGAGGGAAACAAGTTATCCTCAAAAAAGGATAACTTGACCAAAACTGCAAGGTTGATAGGATATAAACTAAGGTTTGAACATAGGCAATGCGGTTCCAAAATCTGTGCTCTTAATCACTGCTACTATCTACTTAAATAAAAAGGTACAATGTCTGCACTAGAGGATGACACTTAGATAAGAAGAGAGGTAAGAAGGCAAATGCCGGCTCTGTCCACTCACGAACACTTAATTACTTCTACACACTATGTGCAATGAGCTGGCAAACAAAAATTGAACACAGAGCCTCTGGTCCTCCAGGCAGTCAGACAGTCACAGTCAGACAGAGCAGTATGAGAAGCAGAATAGAGAGACAAAGATGCTGCTGGGTAAGAAGACAAGACCACAGAGATGAGAAGCAGAGTGCATATCATCTTTGTGTTCTCAAAAAAAAATTTTGGTGGTACTAGGGTTTGAACTCAGGGCCTCATGCTTGCTAAGCAAGCGCTCTACCACTTTAGCCACACCAACAGCCCTTTTTGCTTTAGTTATTCTTCATATTTTTGCCTAGGACCAGCCTCAGACCACAATCTTCCTACCTACATTTTCTACATATCTAGGATGATAGGCAAGTACCAGCATACTCAGCCTATGATTAAGATGGGGTCTCACTAACTTTTGGCTTGGGCTGACCTCAAACTGCTATCCTCCAGATCTCCATCTCCCAAGTAGCTGGGATTATAGAAGTGAGCCACTGCACTTAGTTCACATTTTACTTTGAAAGGACTTGTTTAAGTATTTTAAACAGAGCTGCCGTTTCTCTCTCTCTCTCTCTCTCTCTCTCTCTCTCTCTCTCTCTCTCT